AAAAAAAAAAAAAAAAAAAAAAAAAAAAAAAAAAAAGAATTGCTGGGACTTTCTAGTGTAAGCTATCTATACAGCCCAGTCTGTGATTTCTAGGGAACTAGGGGTTTGAGACACAGGCACAGAGGCACAAAAGGGGTCCTAAAACTCGATTTCTAGGGAAACACTCAGATATCCAATTCAGAGGCAGGAAGGATGACCTCTGGAGGTTGATACGGTTGAAGTGAGAAGGCAGAGGGAGGAGAAAAGAGAATCTTCTTATGGGATTTCTCTTCTGCCCAATGGATTTGGATATTTCCTGTCCACCATCTGTTGTTTGCTTTACACTTAAAACCTTTTAAGTGATTTGTTTTCCTTAAATGTTTTCTCCCCTACTCTTGCTCACCTCCGGAGCAGGAAACAGCATTCCAGCCTATATGTTTCAGAAGGTTTTTTCCTTACTTCTTAAGATTACAGATATATACTCCGGGACTCCAGGTATCCGAAAGAGAATTCCATAGGCCTTGGGAAAGTCTAGAAAATAAATAAACAAACAATAATTTCTATCTGTTCTGATCTTTTTAAGTTGAGTTTATTCATCTTTCCTAAAGCACTGATGGCTTTGTGTTGACTCTAACCTTTTCATACACACAGGCTTTTCCTAAAGCTTCTGAGAAGCCCCCTTCCTTTACAGATTTTTGTTTTGATTCGTTTAAGTCCTTCAATTAGACTTCTAGACTTCATGGGGCTTTGCCTTAGTGATGTCATAAGTAAGTTTTTTTTTTTTTTAACATCTTTATTGGAGTATAATTGCTTTACAATGGTGTGTTAGTTTCTGCTTTATAACAAAGTGAATCAGCTATACATATACATATATCCCCATATCCCCTCCCTCTTGCGTCTCCCTCCCATCCTCCCTATCCCACCCTGCTAGGTCATCACAAAGCACGGAGCTGATCTCCCTGTGCTATGCGGCTGCTTCCCACTAGCTATCTATTTTACGTTTAGTAGTGTATATATGTCCATGCCACTCTCTTCACTTCGTCCCAGCTTACCCTTCCCCCTCCCTGTGTCTTCAAGTCCATTCTCTATGTCTGCGTCTTTATTCCTGTCCTGCCCCTAGGTTCTTCAGAACCTTCTTTTTTTCTTTTCTAAGATTCCATATATATGTGTTAGCATACAGTATCTGTTTTTCTCTTTCTGACTTACGTTACTCTGTATGAGGTAAGTTTTGACATCATTGCTCACCAATGACCTCTTGTTGGCAAGCCCAACCTTCTCGTCCTCACCTTAGATCAATTATCAGATGCATTTGGCAATGTTCCCACTTCTTGAAACTGTCTCCTTTGGCTTCCAAGACATTGCTAAGTCCTGGTTCTCCTCTTGCCTTTCTTGCTAGTTAATTTTCATCATGGAACCCCTGTTAGTTTTCATCATGTTAGTTTTAGTTTTAGTTTAGTGTTAGTTAGTGTTAGTGTTAGTTTTCATCATGGAACTCCTCTTTCTCTGCCCATTCCTTCAATGTTGGTTTTCCTCAGGGTTCCGTTCTTTGCCCTTTTCCCTTCTAATTTTACATATTTTCTTGAGACAGTCTCTTCCAAGTCCACATCGATGTTCCACAAGAACTTCAAACTCAACAGATCCAAATATAATTATCACCCCCACCCCTACCTTCCCGAACCAAAAGCCACCTCTGCTCAGTTAACTGCACCACCGTTTTCCCCGTGGCCTAAGCCAGTCACGGGACATCTCCTCCTTCCTCTCCAACACCTTGAAATCTAATCACATGGCCGATTAGATGGAAGTCCTGTTGCTTCTGTTTCCTAGGCATCTCTTGTCCAGTATCTCTGTTTTGTCCTAAATGCCACTCTCCCAGTCTAGGCCCTCATCGTTTTTGTCTAGGCTGCCATCTAACCCTAGTGTCACCTCTTTCATTCTGTCTTTCACATTGCTGCCAGAGTGATCTTTCTGATACTTAAATCTCATCATGTCCCACCGCTCTCAAAGTTCTTCAAAGATTCTCTGTTGCTTGCAACTTTTTTTTAAGGTTACAGACCCCTTTAAGAATCAAGTGAGGGACTTCCCTGGTGGTCCAGTGGTTAAGACTCCATACTTCTACTGAAGGGGCTGCAGGTTTGATCCCAGGTCCGGCGGGGAACTAGGATCCCGCATGCCATGCGGTGCGGCCAAAAAAAAAAAAAAAAAAGAAGCAAATGAAAGTTGTGAACCTTCTCCCAAAAAAAATGCCTGTGCCCACAAAGATTTTCATATAGTTTCATGGGGTTCATGGATTCCCTGAAACTATCACCCATGGATCCCCAGTCAAGCCCTGGCCTTCAGAATAAAAGCCAGACTTCCTCGCTGGGCACACAGGTGCCTGCCCATCTGTGTAGCTTCATCTCGCCATCATTTTACATTTCATTCTTCATAATACTGAATTTCCTAAGGTTATTTCTTGACCCTCAACCTTTATTTGTGCTATTCCTCCTGTCTATAACACGCTCCCCAAATTCATCCACCTAGCAAAAAGATTTGAAAGGAAATTATCCTTTAGGCCTCAGGACAAATGCTGTGTTTTCTGTATCACCTTCCCCAGCTTCCTCCTGGCAGCGTAGATGTTCCTTTTCCTTGTCCCCCCTGCACTTTGTACAAATCCCCTCCATATGGATCCAATTTGGAATAACACTATAATTCTTCCCAAGTCTTGAGGACCATTCCTGAGTCCTTTATCTTTGTATCCCCAGACTCTCTATCATTCCGTGATGCGTACCCAGTGCCTACATAGTGTCAGGAGCATGAGAGGTATTTAATAAATATTTGTTCAGTAAGTGAATGAACCTTCAATTTAATTTGGAGCTTGTCGCCATGTAATACCAACCTTTGTCAGCCTGCAAACAAACCAACCCCCCAAACAGACATTCTGGTCTTTGATTCCATTCCATTCCAGATAGCTTTGGATAATGCAGTAGTTTGTCATGGATTTTAGTCTGCTGCTGCAGACTTTTCCAGTTACTGACTTCTCTAGTGCTCACTGGTATATGATATTTCCCCAGGCAGGGTTAAGGACCCTATGAATAGATTTTAGATTGAAACAAAAAATGTGTAATGTATACAGGGGTATCTGAGGGAGGGTGATTAAAGTGGTTCACAGGAAGCTGATCCATCGCAGCATCGCCTCCTCACATTACAAGGTAAGACAGGGTTGCCAGGATCAAGACCCAGGAACGTCTCACCAGTGAGGCTGTGCTGAGCACAGTAAGCAGTGGCATCGTTTCTACCGTGGAGGTCTTCACAACTATGTGTTGTGTGTTGAGACAGGTCAGCTCCTCCCCACACTCTTGGGAGAGAGTTCTTGTCATTGAGTAGCTACTTGGAGAAGGATGGTACTCACATGGGAAAAGGAGGAAAGGCTCTCCTCTCTGTTTCATCCCTAACTGTTTCTCCCAGTGGAAACAGAATAATTGGCAGTGTGATTTGTAAGTTCCTCATACACATGTTACACACAGGGTCACAGGAGAAGATCAGTGCGGGAGAAGGAGAGCATAGAGCCTCCACAAATTCTGTCTGCACACTCGGTCACAACCTCTTCTGGTAGTTTGGGAGCCAGAGAATCTGTGTGTGGTGCACACTGGAACATACACCAACTCAATGACACTAAAAAGCTGTGTGTGTGTGTGGAGACTGGGAGAATCTGCCAGCCAGTAATTGTTGTGCTCAAGAACAGCTTGTGAATGGTCAGGTCACTGAGCCCCAGAGAGCCATGTCTTTGTCCTGAAAAGCCTATACAAGCTGGATACCTAGATTCAATGCAGAAGGCAAGGAAAAGCCTCGTACAGACATTGGGATTAGCATGGAGGTCAGCAGTGTTGGTTGAGACATTTAGGATTTGGATTAAAAGCTGAGCTCGTCCCAGCTCTGTGACCTCGACCTCTTTGAACTTCAGTTTCCAAATCTGTAGAATGGAGGCAACTCCAGAGCTGTGGATAGGATTAAATGAGTTGGCGATCGACAAGCATCTAGCAGCATCTAGCCCCACAATAAGCATTCAGGATTATTATCCCCCAGATTGCCCTGGCAAGGAAAGGTCTTAGGAAAGATGGGGTTTGGGGGGGGGAGGGGAGAGGAATGGAGGTAACTTGTGCTATATTAACATTGAATGAAGTAATTCAGCTTTAGTGGTGAGGCCAGAAGAATTGGATGAGAGGATTCTAGATTCAGAGAAAAGCCTTAGAAAAGGACTGTCTCAGATCCTAGAGTCCAGGGCTGCGTTTCTTAGGATAACCTCTCTCTGACACTTTCCTCCTTGCAGGTATGAATGCTGCTGTCAGGGCTGTGGTTCGAGTTGGCATCTATACTGGTGCCCGTGTCTTCTTTGTCCATGAGGTTGGTTCTCTGCTCTGCTCCCCATTATTCCTTCTCTGGTTTCTCCTCCCCCTCCCCACCCTCTTTCCTTACCTCCCAGTTACGTTGCTGTGTCTGGTTAGTCTTGGTTCCCTGTCTTCACAAGTCACCCCTCCCCACTCGGGGCTCCAGTAATGACGGTGGGTCCCAGGGATCTGCAGGCTGGGTCCTCGTGTTGCCTATTCGATTTAAAGTAAGAAGTAGCTCTGTCCTCCCTTTACTTCCCCCAAGAGAAGGTGAAATGCATTAGTATTTCACAGCAAATTCAATACATCCAGAGACAGAGCCCTAGGAGAGACAGAGCCCTAGAGTCCCACTGTGTTTCTGCAGTTTGCCTTACTTTCTGAGGTTCTAAGTCCTCTTTGGTTCCCTCCTCTCCTTTTCCTCTCATCCTTTATCCACTCTTCTTTCCATAAGGTCTGTCTGCCTTTCTTCTCTCAAACGTTATAGTCTCTTATCTTTTCAAGTCACATTTATCTCCCTTTCTCCTTCCAACGTACCCTTCTTTTCTTCCTCCATTTTTGGTTATCAAAACCATCTGTCATCTAGTTCCCCTGGGAGGAAATGGGATGAACCAAAAATAAGAGGAATCAAGATCAAATATTAGGAAGAGCATTCTGATGTTTAGAGAATGAGAGAAACTAGAAGAGGGTATTGAAAAAGCTGACGTCTCCTTCCTTGGACTGTGTTATTCTCAGGAGCACCCAGGCGTCAGTAATGGGAGGCGGGATGGGTGACTTGATTCTCAGAGAACCTCTTCCCAGGGACTTGGTCTTAATCCTGGGGGTTTGGGGGAAGCCTAACAGAGGCTGAATGGGTGTAATGTACCCCACAGGGTTATCAAGGCCTGGTGGATGGTGGAGATAACATCAGGGAAGCCACCTGGGAGAGTGTTTCGATGATGCTTCAGCTGGTATGTTCCAGAGGATTCCTGTCCCGTGTTTGTCCTGTTCTTGTCTCACCCCTACTTGGATTGGGGCTCGTGGTTTCCTGAATTCCCTGCCATGCGGTTTGATAAGAAGGGATTCTGTGACCAGAGAGGGGCTATGTTTGTCCTTTACTCTTTACATTTGAAAACATCACCCTGGTTTCCTGGGGCGGGATGGAGGATTGGGGGTGTGATCACAGGACACTTTGCTCTTTATAGAAAGGTCAGAGGCAAGACTTGAGGAACTGGCACGTAACAGGTCCTACTCACAGGGAAGGTCAGGCCCTGAAAATAACCTCACCAGAGGACTGGAGCCAGAGCCAGAGTAGAGCTGAAGTTTGCCAGTCCTCATGTGATGACGATGAGGTGACCTGATACCAGACCTTTTAAGGAAGGAAGGAACCGAGAGAGCGTTTTAGAGTTTAAAGAAGAATCTAAGATGATTTCTATTGTATCCACAGCCCTTTTTGCTACTTTCTCTACGTCATTCTATACTCATCTTCTGATTTACTGAAAAATCTGCACATTACATTTGTATCCTCATTCTTTACCTCAATCCCCTAAAAAAAAATCCATGGGAAGAAATTTAATGAGCAGCACTTTGTGAAGGTTTTATACAGGCAATGGTGCCTTCATAAAGCGGTCTGAGAATGAGCCAGGATTCTCCATCAATACCCCTGAAGTCATGGATGCCAGGAGTTCATATGATTTGTGAAAACCCTAAGTGTACTTTCCTCTCTTGGGGTGTCTACAAGCTCCTGGGGATTTAGGGCTTTCCATATTCAGAGCAGTTTTTCCTGTGAATGCCTGGGTCTTGTGGCTCCTCCCACTAGCACACAGATCCCCAGGCGCAAAGGGGAAAGGATTAGCGGCGCCTTGTCCCTGTTGAAGTCACTGCTGCTGCTTCTTACACGTGTAAGATGAGAAAGATGGAGATTATTTCAGAAGCCTACAGATACGTGTGTATTCCTAATTCTCTTTAGGACAGTCACAGTGACAAAGCCTTCAGTGGAATGGGCCCATCTTAGCAGTCTTCTAAGAAGTGTAGCAGAACATGGGAATGACCCTGTGATACTTCAGCCAGCACCATCTCGCCTTCCTTTAGAAGGGGCCAGAAACAGAACAAAACAAAACAAAAACCAACTCAGTGAACTACAAGGAGGTTAAAAACAGGGAAAGCTCTGGGTAGGCCCATGCAAACCAAGCTGAAAATTAAGATAAAGTGAACAATCTTGAATGCAGTCAGAGGAGTTAGGCAGATGAAGTAGAAACGTGTCTGAGGCAATCAAGACTCGCATGTCTTCTATTAATAGCTAAGCTTGTACAGTCACGTACCCTCAGACAACAGAGTTAAACATCAGTATTCGTGACTCCGGAATTTGAAACTCATGTGAACTTCATTCATCCTTTTCATGAAGAATAAAACTTTAAAACCACACACACACGAAAGAAGGGGCCAGTGACTGTTCAGGATGTCAGGGGACTTCCTAGGGAGCCACGTGGTGATGCCAGCCCGTCACAGCGTTGGGATAGGGCAATCTCAGCGTGTTGAGCCCAAATTTGGCCACGTCACCTGGGGAGCTGACTCCCACCTCTTCCCCAAAGGGAGGCACGGTGATTGGAAGCGCCCGGTGCAAGGACTTTCGGGAACGAGAGGGCCGGCTCCGAGCTGCCCACAACCTGGTGAAGCGCGGGATCACCAACCTGTGCGTCATTGGGGGTGACGGCAGCCTCACCGGGGCCGACACCTTCCGCTCTGAGTGGAGTGACTTGTTGAGCGACCTCCAGAAATCAGGTGAGACGTTGCTCTCGTGAGTGTGGTTTCTGCGTATGGGCACACACACACGCCTTTCCCTCCCATGGAAGAAAATTGTTGCCCAGACACAGAGGGCCGTCTTTGCCCTCTTTTATCTGCCATTGTCAACAGCTGCCATTGGCTGCAGCCCCTTTCCTCTCCAGTCACCTGCTCCCTAGCATGCCAGGGACCTCACCCAGTGCCTCCTGCTTTGCTTCCCCTTGTCAGGTAAGATCACAGCGGAGGAGGCTGCAAAGTCCAGGTACCTGAACATTGTGGGTCTGGTTGGCTCAATTGACAACGACTTTTGCGGCACTGACATGACCATTGGCACTGACTCTGCCCTGCACCGGATCATAGAGATTGTAGATGCCATCACCACTACCGCTCAGAGGTGAGGGCCCAGTGGGAGGAGGCGTGGGAGGGTGGCGCTGGGACAGACCAGCCAGCTGGGGACTAGAGAAGATGAAAGTGCTTGAGCTATGGTGACTACAGTGACCAGTTTTCTGGGACCAGAACGTTGTTTTTAACTAAAAATTATCCCTAGAGCACTGAATTGCACTGCTCTATAGATGCCATAAGACTTGCCTCTGGCCACTATCTACCCACTGTCCAAATGTGTCGCTCTGAGGTCTTTAATACCTGTGGGGTCTCCTAAATGATTAAAAATGATTTGTCTAAATGATTTGTCTCCAGACTGAGACAAATCCAGGGAGCCCCAAACCTTTCCAACCGTGTCACAGAGATAGTAGTGGCCATTACGCCGCTGCTCAGAAGGGCAGGGACTCGGGAAGCAGTGCAGGAGAACGGGAGGGCGGGGCGGGTGACAGTCTCCTGCAGGTTGGTCCTGGAGGATTCAAGGTTAGTGGAGTCCTCCCTCCGATTCTTTTCCCTTCGCTCCTTCCCTTCCCAGGCCCCCTCCTTCCCAGGCACAGAGCCTCAGTACTGTCACCTTTTTCTGTGGTGTTTTCTCAGGCCTGGGACACCCTGTGGCTAAAGTGTTTACCCTGCGTCTTCCAAGTGTCTCAGGAGACCTGCTAGAAAGCCCACGGCGTAAATGCATCTTGCCGAGAGGTTCCTTGGCCTCAGTGTGGGTGGGGGCTTGGTCCTGGCCGTAGGGCCGCTTGGACTGTGCAAGCCCTATGTCTGTCTCTTACAGCCACCAGAGGACGTTTGTGTTAGAAGTGATGGGCCGGCACTGTGGGTAAGATCCCCCACCTTGACTCGTTTATGCCATGGACCAGGCAATAGCCCTTTCCTCTTCCCCGGGGAGTCCAGGGAGGCCTCCCAGTGGTGGCAGATTGGAGGTGTACACACTCCTCTTGGGGTGGCTGCCTTTCCCCGTCTCCACCCAGCCTCCCTTACATCCCACACATGCGCGTGTGAAAAAGCAGACAGCGCTCTGAGATGGGGAGCCGCTGTGGCAGGTGAGCATGGATAGAGGGGCTCTTCAGGGACAGAATCCCGCTGATTAGCGGAACCAGTGGGGCTCTTCCCCTCACCCCAAGAATGAAACGGGCTCCTCAGACCTTTCAGTGGCTATGGGACTAGGCCTTGTCAGGAACGGGAGAGGCTGTTGGTGGAGGGTAGCTCCTGGCGCGACGCTTCTGCCTCTTGTCTCAGATACCTGGCCCTTGTCACCTCTCTGTCCTGTGGGGCCGACTGGGTGTTTATTCCTGAGTGTCCGCCAGATGATGACTGGGAGGAGCACCTGTGTCGCCGGCTCAGCGAGGTACCGGCGCCTTATTTCGCCCTTTGAAACCCCTCGCCCTGCTCTGCTGCTGATCCCTTTCCTGTCCAGCAGTTTCATAACACTGACCATTTTTTCCTTTGTTCTTGACCAGACCAGGAACCGTGGTTCTCGTCTCAACATCATCATTGTGGCTGAGGGTGCGATTGACAGAAACGGGAAACCAATCAGCTCAGAAGACATCAAAAATGTTAGTATGAAAGGAGCCAGAGAGGCCTTGACGCCTTACCCATCCTGGCCCCACTGCCTGGTGGTTTCTGAGTCTCCCCTGAGTCCTGCATGTCTCTCCCCAGCTTTCCTGCCCCCTGGTTTCCTCCCACCTAGGAATCATTACAAGATAAGAGGCTAAGTCATCCTTGGTTTATCTAGGTCCCTGCTTGTTTAGGGACCTTGACTTTAGGTCTAGGTCCTTGACTCTGTATCTCTCTCTGCCCCTCCCTTGATCCCTTCAGCTGGTGGTCAAGCGTCTGGGATATGATACCCGGGTCACCGTCTTGGGGCATGTGCAGCGGGGCGGGACACCGTCGGCCTTTGACAGAATCCTGGTAAGTCATGGGGCTCTGGGGTCCTCACCATAGAACCCTCAACCTGCTGTCCTTTCCCAGCAGGACAGTGCTTCACCAGCACAGGGGCTTCAACCGTTGCTCATGCCACCCTGCTACCAGACTCTGGACTGCAGTGGCCCTTGACCCATTCCCATGTGCTCAAGAGTTCTCTTTTGTTGCAGAAAATGTTGGGAAACGATATGCTCCCCTAAGGTCTGATATCTTAGAGCTTTGAGCATGAGTGAAAGTATTAGATCTAACCTCAGATACTCAGTTTGTACCCTCTTATCCTACTTTCATCAGGAAGGGAATATTATTCAGCCCCAGTAATCCCCTTGATTACTATAGTGGATATGTTTCTCTGGAACCAGGTGGAATCCTTGGGGTTCAGGTGGCAAAAGGATGAAGAGTCATCAAGCTTTAGACAAAATCTGGGTCAGGAGGTAAAGCCCAGTGAGTTCTTGGCCACAGTCCTTAAATGCGGAACTCAACTCGTGATTTGGAAAGGGCCTTGAATGCCCAGGTTCTCTAGGCCAAGACTAGATGGGGAGGCTTGAACCAGACTGTCTTTGCTCCCTGCAGGGCAGCAGGATGGGTGTGGAAGCGGTGATGGCACTCTTGGAGGGGACCCCGGACACCCCAGCCTGTGTGGTGAGCCTCTCTGGTAACCAGGCTGTGCGCCTGCCCCTCATGGAATGTGTCCAGGTGGTGAGTACTGACCCCAGCCTGCCTTCCTGCCATTCCCAAACCCGTCTCTGAGCTAATGGGGAAAGGGAGTAGCTGCCGAGGCTCCCAGGGCGGGGGCAGGTGGAGAGGTGGCGCAGCACAGGGAGAGGCGTGTGGGGAAGGCAGACGATGGGCTTTGTGCAGGAGCTGTCACCTCTCTAGCTAAGCCTCAGTTTTCCCATCCTCCAGATGTCGCTAAAGAAGATGCGAAACTCTGCATCCTACCTAGTAATGAGACCCATGCAGTCTCTCTCCACACTTATTAAAAGCAGGGGAATACTATTAAGGTCTGGCTGGGTAGCTTATCCCTCTCTCTGATTTCTCCCTTGAACATGTTTCTCTGAACCAACATGAGGTTACTAAGAAACACTCACCTCGAGGGTGAGTATAAGGACTGGAGAGAAGACATGTAAATGGTCTGGAAGATGCTGAGTGCTCAGGAAGTGGTGGCTCTAGTTACGGAGGAATCGCTCCTCTGATACCACAGGGCAGATGCTGCGGCTGGAAGCTCAGGTGTCCGGTTGATTCTCAGGGCTGGCTCTCCGTCTCCTGGCTGCTTCTCTCTGAGACTTAGGAGTCCTAATGACCTACAGCCCAGACAGGCTCCAGCCTTGCCTGGAACCATATCTCTAAAAGCCCCAAGCTGAAGTTGTGGCTCGCAGAGCAGAAAGCAGTAGTTGGGAAGCACATGGCAGGGATCAGCCTTTCCTCCTAACTGGTTATCTGCAGGATCGTTTTATTTAGTCATTAGTTTAGAGGCTACTCTGAGGCTGGGGCCCTGGGTGTGGAATGGAGGAGGATGCTATCTTATCTGTGTGTACTCCTCCACTCTGCCCATCTTCGAATAAATAGAGCATAGAACCAGCCCTTTTCTTTTGCTGCTCATTACTCAGAAAATTAAGGAAAAACAAAGATACTTCTTCTAAGAAAGTTTGGGGGGCATAGAAAAGGTGGGGTACAGGATGGGCAGGATCCAGTCACAAGCCCAGAGATGAGCAGGGTCTCAGTGTGGGATGGGAATCCAGCGCTGCTAGAGTCTGACTGTTGCTGTGCTTCTCCCTCAGACCAAAGATGTGACCAAGGCCATGGAAGAGAAGAGATTTGATGAAGCCTTGAAGCTGAGAGGCCGGTGAGGAAATGACCAGGAGCTCACTAGCTACAGAAATCAGATGCCAGAATGAAGCCCAAAATCGACGTAGCTCCAGACCCCAAATAGGAGCTTCTGCTTTCTCCTCCTCTTATTGTCTCTGCAGCAGTTTCTTCTGAGAATTAGTTGTGAGATGACCAGGTGGCTCAGTTCAGCCCAGGGATTCTCTCCCTGGCCTTAGCCTTCCATAGTCTGTCATTTCTATATGTGGACCCAGCTAGATCATAAGTTTCTCTAGGCGAGGGGGGAAGAGTGCTCAGGGAGTGTTTGGTGGGTTAGTGGCCTCTTTGCAGCCCCGCCCAAGCCCTGCTCGGCCCCAGTTATGTCCTTAGAGGTTTGCCCTGTGGAACTTCACGCTGGGAGCAAAACTTCAGACCAGATCCCCTTGGCTGCTGGCCTTGGGGAATGGCCTGGAGACACCACCCCTCTCTCCCTCCCTCCCTCTCTCCTCTCCCTCTCTCTCTCTCTCTCTCTGTACTTTTTTAGGAGCTTCATGAACAACTGGGAGGTATACAAGCTTCTGGCTCATGTCAGACCCCCAGTATCTAAGGTACTGGCAAGTTGCTCTCTTCCCTTATTCTCCCATTATGAAGTGCTACCCTCAATCCACACAACCTACTTCTTTGCCCGCCTGTAATCTTCAGTGCTGAGTCCTAGACCCCACTAAGATAATTTTCTCTCAGTCACCCAGATATAAGCCCATGTTCTTAGAGTGCCCTGAAGGTCTCTGAGCCAAGACCCACATCCAGTTTAAGGCTGACAAGATAGCATGCAAGGAATGGGAAAGAAGGCTCATGTATTATTTTCTCTGGGCAAATCTGGAATAATCACATCTAAGTGTATTTGAGCCACCTCTTCCATTGGTGTAGTGGTTCTTAATATTTACCATATACCAGAATTATCTGGGTTGCTTATTAAACATGCATATTCCCCCCCGCCAAGAGGGGATTCAGATGGGGGTAGGGTCAGGAATATGCAGAGTTAACAAGCTCGCTGGGTGGATCTGATACAGCAGGTGGTCCAAGGATCCCACTTTGGGAAACACTGCTCTGGAGGGTCTCCTATTCATTTTGCAGTGATACCTGGGATCAGGGAGCACAGCTTTATTTATTGATCTGTGATGAAGACTTTTGCTTCCCTCGTATGGGGGAGGGGACAGGCTGTGCTGGCGTTCCCTGGGGGAGGGGTGTGCTGTCAGGACCATAAGGGGCTCAGAGTGTAGCTCCCCTCACTGACCTGTCCCCCCACCCCACTGCTGTCCCCTCTTTCCCCTTTCCCCCTCTGCTTCCTTCTCCAGAGTGGCTCTTACACAGTGGCCGTGATGAACGTGGGGGCCCCGGCCGCAGGCATGAATGCCGCCGTCCGCTCCACCGTGAGAATCGGTCTCATCCAGGGCAACCGAGTGCTGGTTGTACACGACGGCTTCGAGGGCCTGGCCAAGGGTCAGGTACAGGGATACAAGGAAGGAGGGCGCTTACTTTGGGGCCAAGGAGCAGTGGTGCAGAGGATAAGTGTAGTGGCTGACCTGCCTGTTCTCTTACCTTCCCCCATCCCTCACTGCCTTTTTCTCCTCTTGGGGTTCAAGCAGAAGTAGATACAGTAGTCCCCCCTTATCTGCTGGGGGCACATCCCCAGTGGATGCCTGAAAGCACTATAGCACCGAACCCCAGGTACAGCTGATCCTGGAACAACTCGGGTTTGAACTGCATGGGCCCACTTACATGCAGAATTTTTTTTTTTTTGGTGGGGGCGGGGCCATGCTGCACGGCTTGTGCGATCTTAGTTCCCTGACCTGAACCTGGGCCCACGGCAGTGAGAGCACCGAGTCCTAACCACTGGACCGCCAGGGAAGTCCCCAGAACTTTTCAGTGGCAAATACTGCAGTACTATATGATCCGGGGTTGGTTGGATCCACGAGTGCAGAGCGGTGGATGTGAGAGCTGACTGTCAAGTTACACGTGTACTTTTGACTGCGCAGAGGCTTGGCACCCGACCCCCATGCTGTTTGGGGTCAGCTGTATACTATGTGTTTTTTCTGTACTAACGGGTGGGTGGCATATACATCGTGGACACACCGGGCAAAAGGATGACCCACGTCTTGGGTGGGATGGTGCAAGATTTCATCACACCACTCAGAACAGCATGCAATTTAAAACCTGTGAATTGTTTATTTCTGGAATTTTCCATTTAATATTTTTGGACTGAGATTGACCACAGGTAACTGAAAGCTTGGCAAGTGGAATCACAGATAAAGGGGGACTACTGTATTTAATTTTAGGGCAGTGGGAACAGGCCGCTGAAATGAACCCTTTGCAAACAACGCGTCTGATTTAATTCTCTGTCCCAGAGTTCAGCACAGGGCCTGGCGTAATCTAAGGCGCTTAAGATTTGTGAACGAGCAGAAAGGGGAGGAAGTTGAGTGAGGTGGGAAAAGCTGGTGCCTGGCGTTCCTCTGTCCGGGCGGGTGGGTGTAGGGGCGGGGTCAGAGCTGAAGGAGTTGTGTCAGGCCACCGTGCGGACCTGTGCAACCTTTCCCTGCAGATCGAGGAGGCTGGCTGGAGCTATGTTGGGGGCTGGACTGGCCAAGGTGGTTCTAAACTTGGAACTAAAAGGTCAGTGCATTACAGGAGCGCCTCCTCGTCGCCCTGAAAGGCGGGCCTCGGCACGCGGGCGTCAGTGCATCCAGTCGGGCTCTGCCTTACCAGTGCTGTCTCTGGGTCCGCTCCCCACAAGCTCACAGTTGCCTCATGGGGGCAGACGAGCCAATCCAGACATCTCTTAGCATCTCTGGCAACTCAGAGCCCCAGCGTGTATCCTCGGACGGGGATGAGAAAGTGGGGAAGGGAAGGGGGCACAAGTTAAGAAACTATAAACAAAGTGCCTTCTAACTCTAGCGTTTCTCTCCTTCAATTTTGCTGTCTCTTCCCCAAATTCTATTCCCCTCCCCCTGCCCCAATCAACTAGAACTCTACCCAAGAAGAGCTTCGAACAGATCAGTGCCAACATCACCAAGTTCAACATTCAGGGCCTTGTCATCATCGGGGGCTTTGAGGTGAGTGCCCCCACCCCCGTTCCCCCCGCCCCCACCTTCCCTCTCCCCTCATTCCCGCCCCCGCTGCTCTCGTCTTCTCAGGCTTACACGGGGGGCCTAGAGCTGATGGAGGGCAGGAAGCAGTATGACGAGCTCTGCATCCCGTTTGTGGTCATCCCTGCCACGGTCTCCAACAACGTGCCCGGCTCGGACTTCAGCGTGGGGACCGACACGGCTCTCAACACCATCTGCATGGTGAGGGCCACCACTGCTTCCCAGCCTCTGGCCAGGACTCTAATCCCTGGACCGAGTCTGGGCCTAGAAAGTGAGCCACTTGTTTTGTATCAACCAAGTCACAGTGTTAGAAGAATGCTTCTTCAAGCCCCGGCATTTACACACACTGCCTTTAACCGTGCATATGGTGTCCATCCTCCACGCCTTGTGAGTCCTGTCACCTAGAAAGGCGTCTGTACTCTGCATATCCAATGATTTTTCCTTTCTGAGGTCCTACAGCCTAGTTCCCCGACTCCGAGCAACAGGAGGGGTAGGGACAGCTTCCTTCCAGGGGAGGAGTTCCACACTGTGCTTAGCAGACGTGCCTGCCGTCCCGGAAGGCAAGCACTCGATGAGGCGTAGGGGCCCCGCTGGCCTGGGGAGGATGTCGCTCCAGAGTTCGGTGATGGCAGGGGCCAGCAAAGTGACAAGAATCACACCCCTGACCGTGTCTTTCTATGACCTGTTGTCTTTGCAGACCTGTGACCGCATCAAGCAGTCAGCGGCAGGCACCAAGCGCCGGGTGTTTATCATTGAAACTATGGGTGGCTACTGCGGCTACCTGGCCACCATGGCGGGCCTGGCAGCCGGGGCCGATGCTGCCTATATTTTTGAGGAGCCCTTCACCATTCGAGACCTGCAGGTAGACGGCCACCCAGAGCCCCTCTCCCCGCCCCAGTCTCTCCCCACTGTCCCCGTGGCGACCTAAGCTGTGAGAGCCCAAGGCGAGGACAGAGCTGATGTGTGGTCTGTGTGGAGTCCTGGAAGGAGCACCGGGCAGGCGTTCTCTGGTGTAACCTCCTGTACGTGGCCGCTGCTCCTGTTGCCGGAGCATTTGTTTGAAGGGTGGTATGCAGCTAAGCACTTTACGTGCGTTTTTGCATTTTATTTTCATAACAGACATGCAAGGGAGCTATTATCTCCATATTACAGATCAGAAAGGTTTAGTGAGGTTACAAAACCTTTCTAAACTTTGAGTAGGTGGTTTAACTGACTGAGAAAGTCACACGCCCACCCCCCACCCCCACCAGATTTCCCCTGCTACCAAACCGGAGTCCTCATTCCATTTTTTGAGGGGATACCTTTATGATCCTCGTTTTCCAAGATCCCCGTTCATTGGAAGGAAAAAGAGCCACAAAGTGGAGGGCCGCCGGCTGAGGGAACTCCCTAATCCAAGGGCCCAGCCAACCCCTGCCCGCAGTGGAGGGTGACCTTTTCCCTCCTTCACCCCCAACTCAAAGCCCAATGAAGCGACTGCTTCTGGGTGAATCACTGCTGTACACGGACCCGGACGCAACCCGTTTAGAGACCTACACGGAGAGCAGGGTCAGCCCTCTGAGGGAGGGAGAACTGGAAACCCCTGAAGGAGCCGAAAACTGACAGTTGCCACGCTTTGTCCAACTTTCCCTCTGCCTGTTCTGCCTGTCGCATCTGGAGTCTTAATTTCAGTCTGCACTGACCTTCTTAAAGGGCTTAGGCACGGTTCAGGCCCTGGGCTGTAAATAGCCCTCTTCCTGTCCCTCTCCCTCCTGCAGATGCCTGGAGGGGAAGAAGGGATCTATGAGCCTGCCCAGCCGGATCCACTCTCAGCCGGGCTTTGGATTTTCTGTTTCATTTTCAGGTGAATGTGGAACATCTGGTACAAAAGATGAAAACAACTGTGAAGAGGGGACTGGTGTTAAGGTACCTCATCCCCGGTTTGCTCCTAAGTGAAGAGAAGCAATAGTCAGGCTTTGGCCCTAGTCAGACTGCATCCGTGGCTGGGACACCCTGAGGAGTCTGGATACAAATGGAGAGCGCCTGGCCACGGGGGTAGATGGAACCGGGAAGGGCAAAGCTGACCAAGGCAGAAGGCGGGTGGAGGGAGGGGGACAACGCCCGGCACAGGCTTCGGTCTCTCCTGCAGGAATGAGAAGTGCAATGAGAACTATACCACTGACTTCATCTTCAACTTGTACTCTGAGGAGGGGAAGGGCATCTTCGACAGCAGGAAGAATGTGCTCGGCCACATGCAGCAGGTGCGGAAGACACGCCATGCCCGTCACCAGACAGCCATAAATAACCCCCAACAGTCACTGAATCTCCCAGTAGACTGCGACCCGCTGGAGGCTATCGGGGCTGCCACAGAGCGTGGGCCTGCAGGCTTTTACAGTCACAGAATCAGAAATCTTTACCTTGGAAATGGCCTTAGACATTCTGTGGTTCGTCCTCTTTATTCAGGGCAGGGTTTCTCAACCTTGGCACTCTTGCCATTTTGAGCTGGAAAATTCTTTGTGGTGGTTCTGTGTGGTGTAGGATTGCTTACTTAGCAGCATCCCTGTACTCTTACTCACTAGATGCCAGTAGCACACCCTCCTCACTTGTACGACTGAAAAAATGTCTCTAGACATTACCATATGTCCCCTGGGGGGCCGAATCGTCTCCAGTTGAGAACCACTGGTTCAGATGAAGAAAATGAGGCCACAGAGGAGAACTGCTTTTTTCAGGGCCACTAGTCAAGCTGGAATGAGGTCAAAATGAGCTGGTCCAGTGCTCTCGCCACCATAGCATGCTGCCTTTTGTGGGGAACCTGTGAGATGAGTACAGGCACCTTGCTAGGGTTGGGCTCCATCTCTGGAGTTTCAAGGGGAAAGGAATCCCTTTCTATCACCCACATTCAATCCCCACCCAAGGCAGGCCTCACTCACAGATGATACTAGTGGTCTGAGGCCTACCCCATCCCAAATGTCCCCACAGATGCCTCTTAAGCATTGACCTTTGACCTTTCTATACCCACAGATGAATTCACATTATCTCAGTTTGAATGGGCTTAGCAGCTCCTGCAGGAATGGGGTACTATTGGATAAAGTATGACGACCTATTTTCTGTTTTTCCTTCCTTCCCATTTTCCCACTTCTGCTTTGTTCAGAGAAACTCTGCACCATGTTTTATATTATTCTGAGGTGCTACCAAGAGCATCCAAATTGGGTCACAAGGAACACTTGTGTCATCGATGATGGTGACTGACAGAAGCTGCTAAGCTAATGAGGGGCAGGGAATTGACTGAATGGCCAGTAAGACTAGAAGGAAATGAACAGGGTCATGCAGCTACGGAGCTGGAAGAGGCGACTGTGAGACCAGTCATCCCCTTGTACTGATTAGTTACTCTGAAGTCTGGTGAACGGCCAAATACACCAGGCCAGCTTGCCCTGGCTCCCGGCCCTGCTTCAGGATTTCCTTTCACAGTTAGACTTCCGGATTCCTCTTTCTGGTTATAAACTTTCCTCTGTGTATTCCCATCTCTCTGCCACTTCATTAGAGTCCTTCCCCGTGTAATTTTTATGATTCTTTTTCCAGGGTGGGAGCCCAACTCCATTTGACAGGAATTTTGCCACTAAGATGGGTGCAAAGGCTATGAACTGGATGTCTGGGAAAATCAAAGAGAGTTACCGTAATGGTAGGTGGGGTAAGAGGGTGAGCCCCCTTCCTAGAAGCTGGTTCCCAGTATAGAAGCTGACTGACCATCCCTGTTGCAGGGCGGATCTTTGCCAATACCCCAGACTCGGGCTGTGTTCTGGGGATGCGTAAGAGGGCCCTGGTCTTTCAACCCGTGGCTGAGCTGAAGGAACAGACAGATTTTGAGTGAGTACCTCTACCTCCTGCGGTGGTTCCCTCCCCGGTAGTTTCGAGATCTACCCTTCCCAAGCTACTCACCTTCTTCAGTCCTTTTCTTTTAGGAGTAACACCTGTAGTCGTACTTACTTCAGATCTGCTGCCCAGGCCCCAAATCCAGCCTCTTCTGCTCAGCTTCTTCCCATAGGCTCTGATGGAAGTTGACTGGGGTGCTAAAGAGTAAATCATCATCTACCTCGTTCCTCTGTAGGCACCGCATCCCCAAGGAACAGTGGTGGCTGAAGCTGAGGCCCATCCTCAAAATCCTAGCCAAGTATGAGATTGACTTGGATACCTCAGAGCACGCCCACTTCGAGCACGTCAGTCGGAAGCGGTCCGGAGAAGCTGCCATCTAAACCTCTTTGCAGTGAGAGGAACGGATCGTCTGATCATGGTCAGCTCACCCTGATAGATCCAAGTCCATGCATTCTCCAGTGTTGCAGCTCAGCTCACTTTCAATTAGGTTTCCTTTTATTCTGTAACTGCAGCCATGGTCAGCTCTGGCCAGGGAGCTGGGGCAGGGGGCAAGTAAGCGTAAGCTCCTTGTAGTTAGAATTTATCCTGACTTCTACCCCAGCTTCATGTGTCACACGAGGCTGGGCTCCTCTAGTGCTACTGCTCGATTTCAGTTACTCGGTTAGAATTTTCCTAAAAATAAGCTTTATTTATTTCTTTGTGATAACAAAGTCTTGGTTCCTCTACTACATTTACGACAGTGACAAACCATAACTACACTAATAAATGCCAACTGGTCACTGTGCTTTTGGTTCTCCTGTTATCATCTTCACAAGTGCATTCCTGTCAGCCTCAAGCACCAGATTCTGCCCAGCGGACACCTAGGAAAATGCAGCCCATGCGCTAACCCCATGTACTTCTCTCTGTTCTTGGACATCTCTTGACTCTGTACACAGGGTCCTAAAACACAGGACACTGTCCTTATCCTCATCCCGCAACTAGTCCCTCCTGCATCCTCTGCAGCCAACAGGATGCTCCCGTCTTCCTTAAGCATGAAGTTGTGTTTCACCTCTTGATCATCTACCCATTACCCAGCGTTGCTATTTTCCAGCCATCCCCCAATCTCTACTCTTCCTCTGACAATACAGGGTTCTTCCTTCTCAACTTTTCCCCTGTGCTCCTTCCTCGATGAAAGCCAGACACCATCGGTGGGGAGACATGTACATCCTGAATGCCTGGGAAATAGAGACACCCAGTCCTGGACCTAGTTTGGTGGGTTGGTTGAAATACTGATTAGGAAAATTGTCAGTTCTTATTCAGCTCAATTTGTTTTCTGTCCCATACTGCCTCATTAGCAAGTATCCATGTAATACAGTTGGTTCTTAGGATTGGGACTACAGACTGTTCCCCCAGTTGATAGGATGCTTCCCTGTCAATGCCAGGCTTGAGATTAGTCTCCAATAATCAGATCCTGGCTCTTGGCACAAGCGTACATATTCCTCCCAACCTACACAGTTTCCTCGCTTGCTTGCTGAAGCAGGACGGAAGTTTGAGGTTTTACAAGGGATGGAGGAAAGGATTATCTGTAGTACTTCACTTCTGCTGGCTGTCCAAAGTGTAACTGCTATACCCTAAAAACAGTTCTAAAAAATGACTGAGGGCTTCCCTGGTGGCGCAGTGGTTAAGAACCCGCCTGCCAATGCAGGGGACATGGGTTCGAGCCCTGGTCCAGGAAGGTACCACATGCCACGGAGCAACTAAGCCCGTGGGCCACAACTACTGAGCCCGCGTGCCACAACTACTAAAGCCCACGCGCCTAGAGCCCGTGCTCCGCAACAAGAGAAGCCACCGCAATGAGAAGCCTGCACACCGCAATGAAGAGTAGCCCCCGCTCGCCACAACTAGAGAAAGCCCATGCGCAGCAACGAAGACCCAAATAATTTATAAAGCAAACAAAAAATGACCGAGAAGTCTTGTCAGAGCCCAGCATTAAAGCAGCCAAATGCTCTTTGTACAGTTCTTTAAGGGGAAGAAAAATTAATATCAAGCACTGTTATCACTGATTCTTCAAAACAGCCAATGCAGGTGGTGGTGACAGCCCCATTTCAGAGATGAGGACACTGAGGCTCACGGTAATTAAATAATGTACAGAAAAGTAGGAACAGTAGAAATTGCCAAACTTGCTTTTAGAACTGTTTATTTCTTTTTTCTTTTTAAGTGAGCAAAAAACACCAACAGCAAAAGGACAAAAGCAGACAAACTTTTTCAAATTAGCTGTGTCAGCAGTTCATTTTTATTTATAGTTCCCAATCAGTTAAAAAAAAAAGTTTTCCACATTTGCATAAGGTCATCTAGGATCAATAACAACTTGATCTAGTTTAGGAACATGAAAAGGGAGAGTACTGTAGACTAAGTATTGTTCACTAAAACAGATCTTTTTTGGGTAGGTGGGTCATCTCTGAGGAAGCTCTTATAATGCTCCTCCCCCACTCCTCAACTCTCCACCCCCTCCACCAATGTCTAGTATAGATCAGTAAAAAGTAAAGTTTCCAAAACACCTGAAAACAAAACAAAACAAATTCCAAACTCTTAGCAGAGTGAATGAAGAAGACCAGAGAGAAAAGGCAGCCCAGCCCACGTCCTCCTGTGCTACAGCAAACACCTTTGCCTACGGCGCAGGAAGTACCTATCAAGCCCACTAGAGCAAACTGGCTGTCAGGAGGAGAAAGAACTGCATTAGAAGAAAAGTTTTGAGGACTTTTAGTTCTTAGGACTGCTTAGAACCTCCTATCCCTTCTACTATATGGAAAGCAGCAAGACCGTCTTTCTAAAATAATATTGCTGAACTACTGTAACCCTTGGGCACACCCATGGAAAAGAAGCAAAGGCTGCCCTTCCCTTCGATGGTGAGAAAGGGGGCCAGTCCCTTCTGAATGCCCCAGGATGATTCTAGGGATATCATCCAGCCCAATTCTGAACCTGCACACCATTTGAGGTTGTAGTATCTTCATTTGGGGGCTGCAATTGTTAGCTGGAATTTTCTTAAACTTCTTCACAGATCAATTAAAATGTTTCTAAGAGGGATTCTTCTGAAAACGTTAATCAGGTCCCCAAAGGAAAACCAAACACATGTTCTATAAATACGCTTCATCTTCCGAGACAAATTTAGTCTCACTGTTGACTTTTTCCCTAAAGGGAGGGTTAGGGAGACCTCTTCCTTTTCAGGGTGCAATATGAAAGGCCAGGTAAGTAAGAAACAGAAACAAAAGTGAGGGACGTTTTTGGTTGCTTGGTTTGGGGAGGGGAGGTGATGTGGAGGTTACTGTTGTGACATGTTGCCTCGAAATAGAAACCACAGAGCAGGAACAACTGCTTTCCCTGTTTTCCAAGACAGAGACAGTGCTGCAGGGCAAAACCTCACCCAGAGTTGCCTGCCTGACGGTGCACTCGTCTCCTCTGGGCTATTCTACGAGTAACAGGTATTCCTTCAGAGAAGCTGGCAGTGGAAGGCCCTTCACCGCATCCGGCAGATACTGGAGTCCCAGGCTCCGGCGCACAGCATAGCGAGAGAGGGTTTTGAGGGTCCCTGGGGCTGAGCACAGAACAGTCAGTTTTTCACATAGCTGCTGGTCTTTGGCCACTTCTCGTGGCATGGTGCCATTTTTCCTTAATTCAAAGTGTCCCACAGCTCTGTGGAGGAGCTCAAAGCAAGAGTCCTCTTTCTCTGTTCCAAGTCCCCTGACTAGCAGAGCCACCAGGCGGGAGATGGGCGTCTGGCCTTTTAGGTTGATGACTCTGACCTCCGCACCATAATCAAGAAGGATGCTGATGCTCTCAAGATTTCCCTTCATGGCAGCCCAGCTGAGCGGGGTGTCATTGTTGTAATCCAGGGCGTTGACAGAGGCCCCACTCTCCAGGAGGGCGCGCACACACTCGGCATTGTTCTTAAAGGCTGCCCAGTGAAGTGGGGTGTCTCGGTTGCCGTCCAGTGCATTGGGGTTTGCACCATATTCCAACAGGACTTCCACACAAGCCTCATCTTTCTCAGCTGCATAGTGGAGGGCTGTTCGGTTATAACCATCCAGGGCATTCACCTGTAAAGGGGGAGCAACTACATTACAGTGTACAGACGACTGAGAGGACGACAGGCTGGCAAAGACACTTGCATGTGTCTATCCATTACCTTTGCTATGTAACGTTCTGAACATGAGGGTCAACAAGCAATTCCCAGGGAGTCATGGTGATCAGGATGGAGCTATGACAGGAGCTGAGGAGCAAATAGGAAAACAACTGTCCCCAGACAACCGACACTATGATGTCCACCGATTAGCTGGCCTGCATTATCTAGGGTTTTGCTTCCACGTTCTTATTTACTATCCACTAGGACCTCTACCACAGGGTAAGGGGAAAGAAAGAGAAGATGAAGTCTAAGTCCTCGTAACTACTCTGAAAGATGTTTATTGGAAAGCGGCTTGCATATACTGGCCAGAGAAAAGGTTTTGGATTATTTTACTTATCCTGACTCACTCTGTATCCCGTGGCTAACGGCAACCAGACTGAAAAATAATGAGGTCAAGATTCTGCCCATGTAGCTCTGCTGTGTTCTTTAACCATCCAGAGAAGCTCAGATTGTTCATCCAAGTCAGCCTCCTGCAAACATATGCTGTGAGGTCACAAGAGAGCCTGGAGGAAAGCATGTGGAGGAAAGAACACAGATCTTCCAGTGCTGGAAGAGCAGCTGGCTTGCTAAAACTCAGCATCACCTATAATTTTTGAAGGCTACAAAGACTTCAGATCCCAGGTTTAAATAGCGAATTATCTTCTCCCATGAAAGGCACTAAAAAAAAAAAAACCCTGCGATATTTAACTGAGTTCAACCTTCTACTTAGCTAAAAACTGCCCCCCCCACCGCCCCCTGGGGTAGTTTCACTTTTATCATTGACATTAATCACTGGCTTTCACTTCAGGGTCACTCATAAAAGTTATGGGATAGTTAATGACAAGTAGAGAATAACATGGCGGTGTGGAGGTGAGGATGCTGGGGGCTGCAGCAGGCTTACCGACCAGTGTGTCTGGGGCCTGCACACCAGCTTCATGGCATGTCTGATTCAGATGAGTGCCACAGCGTGTGCACCTTGAGGATGCCTCAAAAGCTGTTGAAACTGCTGGTTTATCTATTTAATAGGCACTTACTTAGTAATTACTACATGCCAGTGCTCTAAACAGTTTACAACCTTATGAAGAAGACACCACTATCATCCTCATTTTACAGATGGGGAAACTGAGGCAAAGAAAGGTTAAGTAACTTGTTCAAGGTCACACAGCTGGAAGTGACAGAGCTGGAATTCAAATTTATGAAGTATGGTTCCAGACTCTGTTCTTTTAATCATTCATTATACTATGCTGCTTCTTGCTAATGCCAATAAAAAGTAATCTATGTTTTTTATGTTAAGTACATTCGAAAGAAAATAGGAACAAGATATGCTAAGACAGAAAAAAAATCAGTGGGCAGAAAGAACACAAGTAGCTCAGTCCTGGGGAAGGGACTGCCTAGTGATCTATTTTCCAGTGACGGAGGTATTAGAAGTGTACATCCAGTAGCAAGTCTCAAGTGGTTTACGTTGGATCAGGGTTGAGGGGCCTGGATAGTCAACAGGCAATGACAGGATTAAATGGAAATATAAACAACCCTAGAAGGAAGGCTGAGAGATTAAGGGGAGATAAAAATTCCCTCTTCCTGGAGTCATGGACAGTGTAAGAAAGAAAGGCAAAGGAATGAAATACTTCGGATGATTCACCATTACATTTTGTTTTAATATTGGCCATGCCGATGTTACCAGGAGCTAGAAGGTGGGAAGAAATGGGAGAAGAGACAAGAAATTGTGGGAAAGTGTGAAGCTCAAGTTTAGTGCATCACTGATGTGACAGCGTTAGAAACCTTACCTCAGCTCCCTTCTCCAGCAGTAATTCCACACAGTCAGCATCGGACACCATGCAGGCACAGTGCAGGGGCTTCAGCGTGCCGTGGGTACAGTTCACATCTGCTCCCTGTGGGCAGAAGGAAAGTTCGATCGGTGTCTTCAGCTCTCGCTCACCACGCAGGACAAGACTCAGAACAAGGTCCGGGGGGAAAAGGGTCCTGACTCTGTACTGTAAACATACTACCAGCCCCAGTTTCTATTCCTATTCATTAAATGATATTATAATGCCAATATCCAAACCAAGAGAATACACTGAAGATGAACGAAAGGAACTGTCGCTCCCTTAGATCAAGTCATTAAGATTCTCCACAAGCTAGACTGCCAGATGGTCATTTGGACATCACTGAGGACATAACCTTATATGTAAAAGCAGTGGAACCTTATCATCAGGCAGGAAGGTTGGAAAAGCAATCACCTTTCTATGGCTACCATGCTCTGAAAAAGTCAGGAAAGGGAGTCTTTCAGCCTGAAGCCAGGAGAACTGGCATGCTCTTTTGCCACCTGACAGATGACCATCACTAATACTAAGGTCATCTTAATGTTATCTCTTTGTTTATAAACATCTTCAAAGTAGCCTATTATTATCAGCATTCTCTGCCACCTAGCCCCCCACTGGTACTTCTATTTCAAATCTGGTAAAGAAGACGGAGATACCACAGCAGACCAAAGTCACAGAATGACTCAGCAGCAGAGCTAGAATTAGAACGTGACCAAGTTTCTACTGCTGAGTCTTCTGATACCACTTTTGCCGAGAACAAGCTAATGCTGTATGACTTTTTCTTCTCACAGCTGTGCCACACAACTCTGAAGCAGCTACAGGGCTCTAGGCTTTAACTAAGGACTCTAAAGTTGTTAAAAAAGAATGTACAGAAGTAACTATCTGGATGCATTCTCTAGTGACCAAAAAAATTACCCTGTAACTTCTCTTCAACAGGAATAATACACAGAAAAAGGCATCAAAGCCCTTCTAGGATACTAGTCATTCAACAGAATTACTGAATAGTAGTGGTTAGACATCAGATAGTTAAGTTTTCTTAAGTCAAAAATTACCATGCATGTTAGGGGTTGATCTTCTCTGTGGAACTTTAAGTGGTGGCTGTTGGTAAGACAGAAGGCCAGTGATATCTCTCCATGTAATTATTACAAAACACAAGGATTTGAAAGCCGCTTATGCTTTGCTTGCCTCCTTCCTCCCTTAGTACAGCATGTGTTGAAGACTCTGAGCTTGCTGGGTCCCATGTGCACCATATGCAGACGGAGATTTTATAGAGAACAAGGGACTAGGTTTATCTAGAACGTAATTCCTGAAGAAAAATATCATAGGCGCAAAGTGAAAGGCAGAAGGGAAGAGAAGCAAAACATAGGCTAAATATATTTTAATGGTCAAGTTAATACATTTTAGAAGACTGTAAAAACTCCCTGTGATCTTGTGCTGAGTCAGAGCTGCAAACCTGTCATCCATTAGGATTCCCCGGGAGCTTTCCCACTTCACCTCCCCAAGGGCTCTCGCATCAACACAGCGCACTCACCCCTCTGATGAGGTCCTCTACATTGTCATGTGGGAAGGAGCGAATGGCAGCGATTGTTCGGATTAAGCGCTCTGAGAGAGAGTATTTGCTCTGAATGCTCTGCATAATATACCACATACTGGAACTCATCAAGGCTCAGAGTACGTTCACATGCTCCAAACTGCCTGAAACAAAGATGTTTTAGGCATACACAGTCTCGCTGAGCACACCTGTCCTTAGTTAGAGGTTCTCTGAGGCCTTCCCACTACTAAAACCAGATTTCAAATAGATCAATGATTCATTCATTAATATCATTTTTTCTTAATCATAAGAAATAGATTATAATAGTTGCTGAAGGAGCTGGGTAAACCTGGATGCAAATGTTCTGACCCTTGAAATCTCAGTTCTACTCTCTGACCTAGCCTAGCACAAGATTTCCCCAAGAGGCTCCAAGCTCCCCATGGAGCTCTGTGTGGTTTAAAAAAGACTAGGCAAGGAAGGGGATTCTTTTAAAGGCTAAAGATGCCACAAAGCATTCTTTTCCTCCTCTGAATTATGTGGTCTTTATTATCAGCATCCCCTTTAGGTTACTTGTTACATGTGGCCTTGCAGTATAGTTATGGTCATATTGTCTTTCCATCTAAACTGTAATCAATTGGAAGGCAAGGTCCTTGTCTTCTACTTTTTTGGCTCATATAAGGCCAGCCACAGAGTCTTACAAAAAGTAGGTACTTAATAAATACTGGTTGATTGACTGACTAAAGGGTATGGGAATGATTGCTACTTGTGAGAAGAGATGGAACAAATACAAATGACAAGGCATCTGTGAAACAGTTTAAAATGTCTTCAGCAAAGAAAAAAATAGGAAGTTTTTGAGGTAATATTCTAAAATAAGGAAGGAACGCCAAAGTATAATTACTCTGGGGTCATCTATATAAAATTAGAAAAAAATTTCAAAGTTCACACCAATGACATATGCTTGCAGTTGTACGAAAACAAGCACATTTAAGAGTGAAAAATGAATTTAAAAATTGGCCATTTGTGACAACTGTGAAGCAGACTTGAGTTCGGCGTTGGAAGAAGAAAATAATGCAATATACATAAATTCAACCATGATAAGTTTCGGCTGTATAAGAGCCATGTATCAGTTGGGGAACATTTAAGATTACAGCAAAGAAGGTGGAGTATTTCTATGAAAAAGCATATATCAAACTGTAGAGAAAGCACGGTATGCTGTACGGCTCTCTAGGTATAACTGTTTAGGAATCCATGTTCTTATCAAACTATAAGCTCCTTGGCGGTAAATACAGTGTTATTTTTAACAGTGCCTTGCACATGGCAGGTTCTCAATAAATATCTGTTGAACCAGTGTAAAGCTTATTACTTTGGATCCTAAAAAAATCCAAGACTTGCAGTAATTAAACATCTTATGCATATGATGACTACTAAGGGAAAAATCCAAAAATTATTTTGGTCATTTCATACTATGTAATTTTTGCCTTTTGTGAAGGACTATCCCCTTATACATTATGCAATATACTATAAACTCTAATAGTTTCCATTTTGCTAATCAGTAGCCATTTATCTGTTTAAAATATATACAGTATTAATTAATGGAATGCAAGTTAAAAATATTCAATTCATAGGTATCAATGATTCAAATTGGGTATTCTCCCCTACTTTATTAAGAATAAGTAAACTTACACACTTGTTTATATGCCTCCCTGAAATTTTCTAGATAGTTTAGACTTGGCATACGTTTTAATCTCTCCAACAGCCACGAAACTCCTCAGAGACAAAGGGTCTGTATCTTACACTTCATTGTTGCAAGGAAAAAGGGGGAAAAGGCATAGCTGCATTTGAGTCAGCGATTTCAAGAACGGGGGCAGAAAACAGAGCGTCCAAAGTGGAAGGCTTACATCGAAGTGGTTCTGTTAACCATTTCCGGGTCATGATAATCTGAAAAAACTACACCCTGCAATCATTTTCGGAGCGCCCTTGGGCTCCAGGCTAAGAACTCCTAACTCAGAATATGACCACTGGTCCTCTGCTGCTGCCGCCTCGAAGCTCGTGCTGAAGAGTGAAACTTCGGGGCACATAGACAACATTCACCGTCAGGGAGGGTCAACGAAATCTAAACTCGACGTATCTCCGGGCAGCAGCCTATGCACGGTTTGACCCCAAGTCTCCCCTTTCCTCTGCTGGTACTGGAAGTCCTCTCTCTCCCGTTTTCTTTCACTTCGGATCCAGAGACAACCCCAAGGTTTTTTTTTTTTTATTATTATTTTTTATTGCGAAGCTAGAAGCAAAGTAGGAGAGAGGTGACGTTCAAGAGCTCTGGTGCTAGTGAGACCAGGCTTCCGCCCACCCAGGCGGGCCCCCGCCCCACCGCGCCTGCTTGGGGGAGGAGTCGCGGCAGCTTGGTCTCGCCGAATCTAGGGGGGTGATGGACAACTGCACGAAATGCGAAGACATGTGGTGTCACTTTCCGCACGGGCTCCTCAGAGACCGCAGCAATTCCAGTGGGTCTCCCGGGGCCGGTATTGAAACGGGGTCGCGAAATCTGGCAGGGGAGCCCCTGAGGCGGACCAACCCCTGCCCCGATCTCCCCAAGGCCCGGAACGAGGTCCCAGCCTCGAGGGCTGGCGGACCCCGAGCTGGGAGTGGAGGAAGCATTACTGGGCGTGGTGCCCCGGATTAGGGAACCAGGCTGCAGACATTTTTGCAGCGGGGTAACACTCACCGAACTGCAGGGCTGACCTGGGTGGTGAAAGCCGCTGTCAAGACGTGACCCGGAAGCAGAAGTTGCCTCCCGGGGGCCCCTCTGTTTACAGGATAGGTGACTAGAACGGGCGCCTGCGCAGCGACCAGTGTCCGAAGGCGGAACGCGCCTGCGCAGGCTTGTGACGCCGCCTTGGTCCAAACAAGGCTTAGTTAACCACTTTGCTATCTAGCCCCGCCACAGGGTTTGCGCAGGCGCAATGTAGCGCTGTCGGCTGCTGGCCGGGCGCTGAGTCCGTGGCGGTCGTGGGCAAAGAGCTCACTCCCCGCTGGCTGTTCGACCAACTCCGTGGGGCTGTGCCTGCGTGGAGCAGGCCTGCAATGAGTTCATCCGAGCCCTCCGCTGCCTCCCACTGCCTCCATCTGATACCGGACCTGAACAGCCAATTCCCAGATTATTCCCAAACTCGCGACACCGATGCGGTTCGTTAGGAGAATAAACTGTTAGTAAGAAGTGTCTTTGGCAAATAAAAGAGACTTCCAGCATTTTTCATAACATTGGAACGCATCGATGCACCTCGGAACCCTTCTGGTTATTGTCCACCCTCCCTCAAAGGAAACTATTGCTATATCAAAGATAAACAAGCACTCATGAGGAGCACTAGCCCAAATGTTGAGGGCTGAACAAATACGTACATGCTGACATTAACCTTTCCCAACCAGAGAGATGCTGACACCTCCGAGTGATGATTTTTTCCATACAAAGCATAAACATTTCGAAGCCAGCTGCACGTGGTGGTGCATGAGAAGAGTAAAGCAGCCCATACAGGCAGACTGTTAAGAGCCGTGATCTACCCCGCAGCCCGTTTAACCAAGAGTTCCCCAGCACCCCTTCCTCAAAGCTTGCTCTGAGCAACAGAATTTGACCAGTTTGAGAGTAAAGCAGGGCCCAGATAGTTCTTGTATGTCAGCGAGGGAATGGCGAACTGGAAAAGTTCAGTGAGTCTCCTCCCAGCATCGTATAAATTAAGGATGCTTAGTACATTTCCTTATTATTAAGGATTGGGAGACAGATTTGCAAACAGTCAATTGCAGTTAAAGATCACTATTTCAACAACATTTTACTGTACAAAGCTGATGTTGAAGAACAGTTCTACTTCATGGTGAGATCAAGAGAGTGTAGAGAGAGAGGGTCTGTGAAGAGGTTTCTTGTGGAGAAATGTGTTTTGTTGAGATCCCGCTCCCTTCCCACTCAGAGGAAGAGGCAGTGCTGGTGCTGCATCCTTCTCAAGCCTAAAGAGGGGACTCTGTGGGACCAGAGAGCTTGGAAATTGTTTCCCATAGTTGTAAAACACAGAGGACTGCACTGACTCTTGTATATAAATAAAAGAAGGCAGTGGCCATAAAACAGAGGTGGCTGCATTGGGATCCACCAGCACACCCAGATTCGGTAGGGATGACAAATGTGAAATGTTTTCCTGGACCCAATGTGGGCCACATAGAGGACAGTCAGCATGAGGTTGCCTTTGGTCTATTCAAAAGACTTGTCTAGAGGTGTAGAGGGACCCAGTGACCAGAAGTTAGAGATGAACGCAGGAATCCTAGAAACCAGAGAGGCTGTTGCAGACAACCACCTGTGTCTGTCTAGGCCAAAGGGACTCAAGTGAGAGGTCTCTGATGATGGGACTCTCCCAAGAACCTCTAAAAGCACCTTACAAGAGAAAGAGTAACCATGTACCAGACCCAGGTAGTACAGACCCATCCTATCAAAACAGAACTGCCCTATCCCCTTGGTTGTCCTGCCTCCTCCCACTTGTACACAGCAGATCAAACAGCAGTTAGCTAGTGGTAAGCTGAGGAGAAACCTGAAGGCAGCAGCCACCAGCCACAGGAGGCAGCCACCAGCCCTCCCTCATGGGGGAGGGGAGGAGAGGGCTTAGACTAGCACCTTAGAATGAAGCCTGAAGTATTTGGTTACCATCTTGGACTAGAAACATTCTAATTACTAAATCAAGACTCTTTTTTTGACTTAAAATGACTGTTACTTAAAATACTGTCCATTATCAAAGAATAAACCAAAAAGTCAGAGAATCTGCCCAATTTTCCATTCAGGGGCATGAATTATCCCCTCCTAATAAATATTTTTAAAAGATGATAAAAGCCAAAAAGTAAAGTGGTATTTTGATCATATCCCATGAATCTTCCATTCAACATCCCAACACCATCTCTATATATTTCAGCTTATTTACAATCTTCATGCTTTGATTACAAGTGATTCCCTGAGTTTGGTTTTTTTTTTAATATGTTGTGTCTCTCATAAGACTTTTATTTTTTCTTCTCTCCCTTGCTAGTTCTAGTTCTGTTTTGAAGAACTGTTCATGAGATGGTGTTGATTGACAGTACAACTAGTGTTCCTATTTTCAGACCTTGGCATAAACTGGAACTAGAAATCTGATAATAATGTTTTGCTTGTAATGAATGCTGTTATCACTGTTCAACATATATTAGTATCCAGTCTCCGTGGATAGATGCCATAGAACTGTCCCAGGTTACAAATCCGGGTGTCTTTCTTCTTGAGTGCTGCAGCAACCTAACAGTGGTGGGCTTTTGTACAACTCCTTTTTGGAGTGAAAAAACTCCTTTTTTCACCAGTTGGCTCCAAACCGTTTCCTGATTTTGAGCGCAGTCCTCTAGAATGACAATTCCTGGAGGAGAGGAATTCTGCCCTGCAAGCTCTCTTAAGTGGTAACACGAAACACAAGTTTTCTGGCTTCTGTCTAGAACTCATCAATTACTCTTCTGACTAAAAAGCCTCGTCCTTCTTCAGGGGCTGCTTGACTAATGTTGATGAAAAAGTTTTCCTCACACCTTTCCTAGAGAAAGGTGACTTAAGTAAGAAGAAGTGATTCCTTCCAAAGAAGCTCTTCCCCCATCACCAAAGAAAATGAAAAGAACCAAAAGGAAGTTTGAGATACCCTAAGAGTGAAGGAAAGCTGTCAAAATTAACAACGTGGAGTGAAAAGATAAGATCCAAGTGTCAGACTGGTTGGGAAAAATAGCTTTCTTTCATTAGTATAATGGTGCATTTTCTCTTTCTATTTTGAGTTTCTTTAAGTTTTAGGATTATCACTTGTAGTGTATTCCTTAATTTAGAAACAATGAAATATCCATGAAAACACCATAGGGATCAAGGTTCCAGTTCTGATAGTAGCTCTAGTTACCTTACTTGTCTAAGCAAGTTACGTTATCTCAGTTTACTGATGACTTTACAACAGGATGAGAGTAGCAACACCTACCCCCAACAGTTAATTTCACAAAACTTAGATCATATTTGTGAAAAGTGGTTTTCTAAACTATATAAATGTTGGTTCTTATCTATGTCATCTGTGTATTTGTTCAAGGAGGTTACCAAATGTCTGGGCCTCTCAGTTACACTGCAAGCTAAGGCAGGCATTTAGATTTCCTGCGTTCACCTCTCCCCATAGCACAGTCCCAAACACACAGTAGGTATTGGATAAATGCGAACTGAATTGAACTATGGTGAACTGACTTCTCAAAGACAGGGATAGCAGAATGCCTCTATGTACTGGTTCCTGATATTGAGAAAAAAGTCAGTGGCACATTTACAAGGAAAGTTGAAAGAGGGCTTTGGAAATAGAGCAAAGGAAAAGAAAAAAAAAGTTCAGGGAAATATAATGTAAACCTCATGGAACTTTTTATACACTTAAACCTTGTCCTAGAGAAAGTAGTTCAGTGAAGAAAAGAACAGTATTAATGTACAGCAGGGATAGTCTCCCAAGACATGTTATCAAGATTAAACAAGCACTTCTTTCAGAATTGCTCAGAGGCAGACATACTCTCAGTATTCAAACTCTGCTCTTTTTCCCTTTAAATTTCCCCAAGGCTTGGGGAAATCTATGAATCATTGTTTTTTTTTTTCAGTTAGCTTTTCATCAGTATTTTATTATTTTTTGGACCTACAGGTTACCAGTATTTTCTACTATCAGAATAATTTTGCTAATTTTGAGACTTTATAAAGAAAGACTGTCTGAGGGAGTTTGAAAAAAAGTTACAGTAAAAATACAAATAACAATGTTAATGATAATATTTAAATTACATATACATGATACTATTTTTTTCAAGATTGTGAGCAGTTATTTCCTAGCAAACCAAGACTGGAGTAGACTAACTCTAGCAGGAGAGTTCGTAAGATTGTTCAGGGGAGGGAAGTTAACAGAGGAAATGCCCACTTGCCTGGTTTCAGTGAGTGGTTCAGACTGATCTGAAGAGTCCTACTAGCAAGGAAATGATTGGATTCTTCGGATCAATTTTAGGGGCTTGAGAAGCAAGCTTTGGTTGATCTCATAATTTTGAGCTCTCCTAGGCCTGTGCTACTTCTAGTAGGAGTATGTCTCCCCCTGGAGGGGAAATAGAGCATTTGTTCTTTCAGGTTTCTTGCTCAGAGTTCAATAATTAGGGTTTTTTCCCTTCCTTCCTTCGTTCATCCATTCATTCAACAAATACTTATTTAATCCTATTATTTTGCTGTTTGTTATGATCCAGCTGAAAATAAGATCAGCACAGTCCCTGTCTCCAGGGAAATTATAGGTTAGTGTGAGAAATGAACATTAAAGAGTCACCTGAATGCCTAAATAATCACAATAGTGATAAGTTACATAAAGGAAGAGTGTGGAGGATAATATGACCTTTCAAAGAAGACCTGAATCGGACTGGGAGTTCAGGGAAAACTTCCCTGAGACCTGGAAGATACATGTATATAGCCAGATCAAAGGCGTGGAGGAAGTGAAGGGAGTGGGTCTTCAAGCAAATGGAAAAGAGTATTCAAAGACTTCAAGAAGGAAAGAGCTTAGGAAGTTGGAAGAAGAGAAGGAGGTTAGAATAAGGAGGCTGGGGCACAAGTTGAGGCCAGAAAGGTAAGGATGTTCCAGATCAGGCAGTGTCTTGGGGGCCACGTGAAGGATTCGAAACTTTATCCCAAAAG